ATTGGACCCGACTCTCAAGTTATGAGAATAAATCGTCCAATTGTTGTTTGTGTCATTCGAATTGTCTCTATGATGTGTTTGTCTTTCACTTAGGTTGACTTATGGTTGATAATCGAGTAATATTATTTTTATTATCTAACTTGTTCGACTTTTAATTTGTTCTCCATCCATTTTGAGTTTAAATAGATTCATATAAATTGCTGGGCCTTTTCTTTTTAATCTTGTACTATTATTTTTTTTTTCCAAATTTATATAATCTAACAATTTTTTTTACCAAATTTATATAATCTAACAATTTTTTTTAATACATTGAAACTAAGCATTTCATATAATATTTTAAATATAAAACAAGATTCATATGCTATGTTTATAGATTTACAAAAAATATATATAGTTTTTAATCCCTGTTCTCAAACTAAGTATCAATTCTATTTATTTGAAAGAGAAATTCAGGTCAATAGTAAGAGATAATAATAGTAATATCCACTGTAAAGGCATTTCAATTCATTTTTCAACAATTTTTTAAAAATATTTAACAAAGATCGTGAGAATTGATCTTCAATTGCAATTAATTTTATATATTTTAAAATAATTTTATTTATTTAAAATCAATAATCTAATTAAACATGTATGGTATCACCTGTGTATATACTCAACCCAAGTGATAAAAACTCAAACATATAATCTCATAGGTACATAGATTATTATTATTATTATTATTAAGGCACCAACAATAATAACAATAACAACAAATAATATAGTTTAGTAGGATAATATAATTTTGAAAATATTTTATTGTTTTTTTTTATTATTATTATTATTAATTTGACATGCGACAGTGACATGTGAAATATGTAGCTTATTGATAGTATTTATTGATTTTTGAATTTAGCTATACAACTTATTATAAATATGATTCATTACAAACTTCTTTTCTACAAATAAAAAGTTTAGCATCTTCTAACACCTCCTTAAGAAAATTATCTTGAAAATTGTCTCTACCACTGTCCTATCCATAGAATACCCACCACCCAAAACCCTAATCACAATCCTAACCCTGTCCTGCCAGAGGAGGTCGACGGTGATGCGAAGGGTGCCAAATCCCAATATAGTTGCAGCTATTGAGATATAAAGCTTAGAAGCAAGCATGCATCGAAAGGGCACCCTAATGTGCACAAGCTGGAATGAGCTATCCAAAAGAATGCCCGCTACCTTTAGGAAGTTCATTTTGATTATTTTCCCGGGGTTGGCCTACATTACATTCCCGCAATGGGGCCTGCCTTGTCGTTCATTGGGGCTTACCAAAGATCCTTCCAGGGACCATAGATACATTTGCAGCATCCTGAAATTCATTTTGGGTTCAATCCTCGCCACGTAAGGCAGCCGTTCCCCTTGATGGTCGTACTATTTCCCCCTCCTGTGGGGTTGCTGCCTCCCCATGTCCACCCACAGGATTCAATAATCCGTTCTATGTAACAGTCAATGAATTAGTTCGTAATTATAAAATAAAATGAAAACACAAAAGAAGAAATTTCAAGTGTTTAATTTCTTCCAAAACAATATGTATTAATTAGTTTGTAATTACATTTTCTTCTCCTATCAACGAGTTGTTTTAGTTTTTTGTCTAAGCATGGTAATTACACTTTATTTCATGTTCTTTCAAAGTCTGATTATAATAGGAAGTTTGGTTTCATAATTTCAAATCCAAAATTCGAGATTCTAAAAGTTATGTTGGCACTTAGGTGCTAAGTGCTGATGATTCTAGTCCGTCAAATCGAAATTTGTAAGGTTTGAAGAAAACTGGCACGGTTAATTCCAAGCACCATAAAAACCCAACACATCATTGCAAAGAAATGACATCAGGCATTTTTTTACTCATGTATTTTTTAAAGCCTTAAGTACTTATATTATCATTATTGTGCTAACTTGTTTAAATAAAAACTTTGAAATTCGTTTGGTAATTATACATTTCTTTACTATCATCGTAATAAAAAAGATAGAAAATTTGATTAAAAAAAAAAAAAACCCCAGGCGTATGGCTCAAGGGCCAAAACACATACTCCCTCCGACCCGTTGAAAGGTTACTATTTTTTATTTTCGTCCGTCCCAAAACAAGGTTACCATTTCCTAATTTAGTAATTGTACTACCTATTTCACATAATAAATACCCTTTTAACTTACAATATATTACACAAATGCCATTACTTTTATATTACACCGTACTAATAGGGGTATTTTTGCCTTTTTTACTACAATCCAATATAATACTAATATTCAAAAATCTACGTGCAAAAAGCAAACGCCACTCTTTTTGTAGGACGGAGGGAGTACATTTTTTCATATTTTTGGTCCATTCATTTGACAAAGGTTGCCCAATAGAAAATCATAATCTCCAAAGTTGTTCCTATACATTTGTAACACATTGTTAACAAATATAATGCTTAATTTCCTAAACACATACCTGAAGCAGTCACCAAGTTACTACTACGTGAGTTCCTTGAGTCTGCCATAATAAAAATCAAACAAATTAAACACATCTAAAGGAGACAAACATACACCAAGTGATTAAAGTGTATGAAAAACAATTTAAAAGAATAAAAATCAGAATTCATAACTAATTATAATCGATCATTTTGAATTTGATAACTTATATTTTTAGATAGAATATTTACTTTTAATTAGTTGGGTCATTTTAGAAGAGCTCTGCGAATTTCGCTTAGTATTGAGCCACGACACAAAATAAAGAAAAACTCAACAAATTGCCTCCCCCCGTCTCACCTCTACCCGATTATTTTCCAATTGAAATTAAATAAGCACAAATCAGAGTCTAAACCGATTCAAGCTTCTTTTCCGATTATTTTCTTTAAGATGATTATGTACTTCTCCAAAAATTATGTCCCTTTTCACTCGCGATCAACCATGGTTGTTTCTTTATCCTTAGGTTCCTTTTTTAGGGTCTATCTATTCTTTCACCCACTATAAACATGTTTTGTGGGTTCGGGAGGATAGAGCACGGTGAGATGTGTAAAAGCTGTGTGTATCTGAAGGGGCAGACTTCTGCTTCTCTTCACCGGATAAGAAGAGCCACACTATTTGTTGCTACATGGCTGTTGATTTTTTGTTCTACTTTATGTAGCCTTTGTGTGAATCATTCAAGGGTTTTTTTGGGTTATTAAGTGCTAGAAATCTCAACAATTGATACTTCATGGGTCGCCTTATAAGACCATTTGGAGTATTTTAGTGTAGGGGTGGCTGTGAAATGAGCCTAACAAAATGATCGATAAAATTACTACTCCCTTCGTCTTGAAACTTAATGTTCATTTGCTTTTTGCACGTAGTTTTAAAAATATTAGTATGATATTGGGATATAGTAGGAATAAAGTAGAAATGACTAAAATAACCTTATTAGTATGTGTGATATAAAGGTAATGACATTTGTGTAATATATTGTAAGTTGTAAGGGTATTTATAATGTTAGGTAGATAGTACCGTTATTAAAAAAGGAAATGAATACTTTGTTATGAGACGGACTAAAATGAAAAAATGAATACTTTGTTATGGGACGGAGGAAGTACTTTATTTTCTTTTTTTCTTTAATTTGTTGATTTTGATTCTTTTTATATTTTTATCTGCTAATATATTCTTGTGAAGAATTTGTGATTGTAGACAACTAATCAATCCAATCGATCAAAATCGAACAATACCTTGAGTAAATACATATTGTATGCTTAATAATTACATTGGTAAACATCCGATAAAAAAAATTACATTGGTAAACAATTAAAACACAGGGTAACAATTAATATATAGATGCATGTTTGCAAATTGTATTTACTAGGCAACGACAAAAAAAATGTGTTGAAACTAAATAACGACAAGAAACATATGTTGAACGTCTTGTCATTATTCTTGAGTAATAATTGAATGAAATCAAAAGTCAATTATCCCAATTACTTTATTTACGATCACGGCTATTGATCGACTTAACACTACAAGAAAATATCATTTTTGTAACGAGATTTTTTCGTCATTAAATTCACTTTTTCCGTTACTAATGATATTAGAGACGGAATTAATGATGGAATTACGTTAGCTACGTGATCTTTAGTGACGGAATTCCGTTATAAATATACTATTTCTTTTTTGTAGTGTAATAGGGCTGACTTTATTGAGTATTGTATATCTTGAGTGTTCAACACCTAATCCAACACACTAGCTCTCTATGTATGCCAATAAGTTTTTAAAATGTTATGCATTCTACTTGCGGTTCGAGATGATACCAATTTAAAATTATTATGACAAAGACATTCTAAAATTCTCGAAGAAATTCAAATTATTATCTAATATGTTTTAGATTGATTCTCTTAAACTGAAACTAGCCATTTGATATTTTAATTGGCAAATAAGTTTTATATGAGTTATTTATATTTATAATTGATAATATTTAAATATTACAAAAATGAGTATAAAATCTCAAATAAACTAATATTAAAAATAAAAATCAAATAATCTTTCTTTCCATAATGATGCACTAAAGGTCTTCCTAAGATGTGTTGAAAGAGTAAGTGGTTTAATCACATTTTTAATTTCATTATACAAGAAAAGAATTAAGAAACTATTTGAATTTTTATTATTTATTTTTAAACTTTCAAAAGAAAAATTCAGGAATTAGTAAAAGATAACGAACAATTTTTATAGTAAAGGTACAAAATTTATTACTCAACCAATTATTTATTATAATTAAAAAAGATTAGTTGGTCAGTATATTTAATTTTCAGGTAATTTTTTAATAATAATAATAGTAACAATTTAGTGTAATTAGATAATATTATTTTAGAAATATAATTTTAAAAAAAAATTCTTTCTTTAGTTTAAAATTTTAAAATGGACAGGTGATATACATAATATCCAAAAACCCTTTATTCTATAAATATAACAGTTTAGTAACATTACCTAAAAAATCCTAACAAGCTATCCTTGCTGCTACACTACGTCTGCCTATGGAACACCTACCAGCACCAGCACCCCTCCAAAACCCTAACCCTTTCGAGCAGGGAAGGGGCAACAACGAGGCTGAGGCCGAGGGTGGTGAACGTCAATATTCTTGTAATTATTGTGAAAAGAAATTTAAGAGCAAACAAGCGTTGGGAGGGCACCAAAATGCCCACAAACTTGAACGGGCTATAGAGAAGAATGCTCGAAACTTTCAGCAAGCTCCATTTGGGTACTTTTCTTGGTCCGGGCTGCCATACAACGCCGGAATGAGGCCAGTCATGCCAGTTCTTGGAGTTTACAATAGGTCCCACCAGGAACAACAAATACTTTCACAATATCCTGGAAGCCATTTCAGGTTTAATTCCCTCCCGGCAATACAGCTGATCTCTAGCATGGCCCCACCATTCCTTCCCTGCGTGACGCTGCCGCCTCCGCCATCACCATCACTGGGATGCAATAATCCCTTTCCTGAGTCACCCACTGTAGGTAGAAGTATTGTCCCTTTTTTGGGACTGGGCTCTTCTTCTGCTAGTCGAAATCAGGTGTTTATGAACCTTCAGGGTTTTGGCAGTGGACTCAGTAGCAACACAGGTGTGGCTCGTCAAGGCAGTGAGTTTTCCCTTGTTGCACCAGGCAATGATGGTGCAAATTGCTCTGAGAGGAATGATTCTGGCCTAGATTTAACTCTAAAGTTATGAAATAAATGGTCTAACTATTGCTTGTGTCATTCTAGTTGTCTCCATGATGTGATGGTCCTGGCTTAGATTAACTTATATTTGACAATAGACTTATATTTTATGTATTATCTATCTTGTTCGACTTTTGATTTGCTATGTGGAGTTTGAAAGGGTTTATCATATAAATTGTTGGTTCTTTTTTATTTCTTTATTTTTTCATTAATTTTTTTCAGTTTAATACAACATAACAAATTGTTAATAAAAATTGCATTTAATGCACACAAACATATATATAATTTGTAAAAATCAGTTTAAAACTATTCACACAAATTGTTATTCTCTTTGTTCTTTAGTTTTATTATTTTTCTGGTTCTTTAATTTTGTGATAGCTCAACTTTAGTCTATTAACATTACACTGTACGTGTTAATGAAAACTTGTGTTTACTTAGGACTTAATACACGGAAACTAACCATTTCATATAATATTGAACATAAAATATTCTGATCGAAAAAAACATAAAATATGGTTCATATGACATGTATATACGTTAATATATATGTAGTTTTTTAAAACCTAAATTAAGTATAGAAATTCTATAAATTAATGCTCCATCCGTCTCAATACAATAGTCTTATTTATCATTTTTGTCCGTCCCAAAACAATAGTCTTATTTCCATAAATAACCATATCACCGTTAAACTACTTCTACTTTTTCATTTTTATTACTCAATTGCTACTATTTTTTTACCCTAATACATTCACAAGAGCAAAAAAGTCTTTTATCTATACTTTTTACCAACTACCAATATAATATCAATATTCCTTAAATCTCGTGCTCAACCAATTAAGAATATAATTCTGGGACGGAGGGAATATTAAATAAGTAATTTAGATAATGATGTATTAAGAATGGCTAAAAATATATTTAATATATTGGGTTACTGTAATCCTATTCTCAATTTTATTAAACAAAAATGTAATTACCCCACAATTCAAAAAAAATATTTATTTTCAATAATTTAAAGTGAAATTTGTGGTTGAAATATTGGTGAAAAGTTCCTAATTCTAAACCCCTTCTCATCTTACAATTACAATAGTTAATTGTCACATATATGGGAGATCCGCTACCTCACTTTTTTATTTATTTTATTTTTTTTTAAAAAAATCGAAATGGTCTAAGCAAATAGAGAAGAAACTTACCATAAAAAAATCGGCATTAAAAATTAGCAGTTGCTCTTCACTTGCTCATCATTGGTGAAATTGAATGAACAAAGATAGAGTTTGGATTGGCACAGAGTTTCACATTTTTTCTCATCGTTGGTGTCGAGATTGTTATAATATAAAACTGAAATTCTTTATTTCAATCCTAAGAATACACACATATTTATAGTAATATACAAATCGTCAAAATAAGACCAGAATCTTATTAACTATCATAAATATAATAATATTGCTTCTAAATATAAACTTGAGTTTATGACAGAAAAAGATATAGCCGAGATCTTCTACGTACGAATTTGAATTCGTCAAGATTGACCGAAAGTGATCTAGGTAGAACTCTCAACAAAGGTCATCAACTCGATTAGGGCTCTTCAAGTTTGTTGTGGTTCTCGGGTGAGTAAGCGCATTCAGAGGAGTGTGAAATAGTATTTTTGTGTATAAATGATGTGTTTTTGTAATTTGGTGCAATTGGACCAAATTGCAATGATTCTATTTGCAATTTAGACCAATGGTCCTAAATTGGAAAACAAAAGAATTATTTATATTTATTTATTTAGTTATACTGCACATCATCATCGGAAAAAATCGCCATATGGCCTGCACATCAAGTCGGGGTGTGCCCCCATCAGCTCCGGTGTGGTCGGTGATCGCACCTGTCCCTCATGTGATATTTTTCGGCACCGAAGAATAGAAATAATGTTAACATTTTAGTTATTCTCCTTAAATCAAATACTCATACAGTGATGTCAAAAAATGATAATTGAACTCTCAGTTAGGGATAAAAATTACTTATTTTCCAATGTTAAAATATACGCTATCTGTCCCACATAATTTATTCCTATTTTTCATTTTTGTCCGTCTCATCTAACTTTTTTTTTCTATTTTTGGAAATATAATTATATACTTTAATCGCATTTTAAATTTTAAATTTTATAATTTTTTTTTAATTTTAATTAAATTATTTACTTATTTTAATCTTAATCTAGAATTATTTTTACTAATACATTTCTTAATTACTTATTAATTATACTTTACCTTCCGTGTCTACAGTAATACACCAATATTACATGGGACGGAGGGAGTAAAAATTAAGGAACACAACACTTTGTTCTCCCGAACAGATGTGATTCCCAATAAATAATAATAAATAATACTCCCTCCGTCCCGCAGTAAGGTTGCCATTTGATTTTTGCGTCATTATAGTTGACATTAACAATATCCTTATATTTGAATAATTTACTTTAAAAATATTTGTATTGGTATTATAAGAGACTAATAAATATATTCTTGTCTTTTTTTTTTTTTTCCTCGATTTGTACTACGTCTTAATATAATAATTAATATTCAAAGATCAAAATGTAAGAAGCCAATGGCAACCTGGGACAAAGAGAGTACAAAAATCTTTTTAAAAAAAATTAAAAAATTAAAAATTAAAAATTTCAAATACTCAATTGCACAAAGTCAAAAAATTTTAAATATTCAACTGAAAATAATATATTATCGTACCATACAAAAAAATCAATCCATGTGAAAAAAGGCTGCGTGAACTGAGCCTTGACATGATTTAAAAGAATATAATTAATTAATGCAAAATATTATATTTTCGAAACACCAAATTCCTCTAATTCAATTCTATATTGTGCTTTTTTTTTTTTGGTCTATATTTAAAAACTTGAGTTTTGTTTATATTTATTTTCAAATCAGTTTTGTATTATTTGTTAACCGTGTTTAAAAAAAATAATAATAATAATCCATCGAATTAAATAATAATTAAAGTTTGTGAATATTTCAGATAATCAACATTTTAGGGTGTGTTTGTTTGGGGATTGGATTGGATTTATATTATTTATTTAATTTTTTTCCGCAAAAACATCAAATCAAACACCTATTTTTAATTTTTTATATTATACTAAAAATCAATTTTACATTCAAAACATCACGTCAACACTTATTTATATCACATCATACAACTATTCAAATTCAAAATTTTTACTATTCAAATTCCAACTTAAAATCCAAACCCCCAAACAAACACACCCTTATATTAATCCAAAATCGTCAGGAATGAGATGTTTGCTTATAGCAAGTCTGGTGATGATCACTGGGGTTGTTATTCCAAAGAATCTTCCAAACAAACTGAAAGTTCTCTACAAGAAGACAGACACACAAGCAGACAGACTGACTACGCACATCATCGAGATCCATTAATGGCTTCTTCATCAAGCAGACAGACTGACTACGCACATCATGGAGATCCATTAATGGCTTCTTCATCTTATCGTGCCGTAAGTTATCTTCACTTTCGTTACTTCCCACTCTTATCTCCATATCTGTTTCTTTCGATCTTGATAATTTTCAATACATTCTATCCTTCTTCCAACCTGTTCGATCGTTTTCTTAGGTTTTTTGGGGGGTTTGATCTTCAAGTGCTTCTTGATGTGATGTAGTTGCTGAAACTGTAGTTTTCCATGAATATTTTTTCGACATTCTTGATTTGGTTTGCACATTCAGTCTGACTTATCTAGTCTCAATGCAATTCGTTTTCAGTTCCTTTTTTCGATCGGAATTCGTTGTCAGTTTCTTGAGAATATGGTGGAAAGATTGTATGTTGCAATTTTCTTGAAAGCCTGCCAATATGATTACAACAATCTGTTTTTAAGTTCTGTCGAAAATCTTGATTGCATTCGACACAACTCGGCCTGACTATTCTTATTAAAACACAATTTATTTTTTGATTGCCTAAGAATATTGTAGCTTGTTGCAGTTTTCTCACATTTGATTGCATCAAGCATGGCTTTCGTTCGAATGCAGGTTAATTTTAGCCGTATGTATATGCTGATTTCATGTTGCTAAATGTTGTAGCGGAGAAAATATGATACTGAGCCTCCATACATTAAGGACGACGAATTGCTGCCCTCGGCTATTTCCATTCCGTCGTCTTGCTTACCGAAGATCGATGTCTTGGCCATTCCCCAGTACCCGAGTGTCATTGCATCAGATCCTCCAGAAAGGATTTCGATTCTTTTTAGGATAAAGGCGCCTTCAATGTCAGATTATCCAGATTATCATCCCCTGAAGCGTGCTGCTATCGATCTTGTCCTAGTACTGGATTTTAATGGATACATCAACAGGAAATCATTCGACCATGTCAGAAAAGCTGTTGGTTTTGTTATTGATCAGTTGAGTTCATCAGACCGCCTTTCGATAGTGTCGTCTTACCCTAAAAATAAGAAGGTTTTACCCCTCTGTTTAATGACCGATCAAAGAAAGGAAAACGCCAAACAAACTGTTAGTAAACTTGTCTTTACGAAAGGTCCAATTGACGCTGTGAAAGTTCTAAGGATGGCAGCTCGGGTGCTCGAGAAAAGGAGATATAAGAATACAGTCGCATTTGTTATGCTCTTGTCTGATAGGAGAGATCATTGCATCACATGGAATCATGAATCGAGTAACCGAGAAAAGGCTATAGAGTACTTGGATAAGTTACCATATTCGATCTATCCTCTATTCTCAAAAGAGATGAACTCTAATTTCTTCAAATATGACATCTTTCCGGTTTATGCCTTCGGTATTGGTCCATACCACGAGCCAGTTGGGCTGCACGCACTATGTTCGGCAACCGGAGGGACTTACTCATCGTTGGAAACCCCTGAGCTTCTCCCAGACGCAATCGCCTGTTGCCTCGGAGGCCTTCTCAGCGTTGTAACCATAGAATTTAGTCTGACGTTTAAACAAGGAATGGTTGATGTTAAGATTCTGGAACTCGAATCCGGGGACTTCTACAGTATCATTCGCGATACGGAAGGGACTTCAGCCGATATCAAAGTGGGGAACCTATTCGCCGACGAGGTGAAAGAGTTTCTAATCGAAGTATCACTCCCTACACGTGAAATTGATGTCCTTCAAAACGAATCGATCCTAACCTTTCTCTGGGCGTACAAAGATGCAGTGACATACAGCGGTACAGAAGTCCAATATTGTCATATTGTAAACATAGACCGAAAACTACGTTTGCCGTGGCCTATGTCTCACTACGAAAGCAACGAAGTTAAGCGACAGAGTTTATGCCTATTGGCTGCAGAAAGGATTAACGAGGCCTTAAATATTGCCCAAGCTAGTGAAGTGAAAACTGCGAGGGAGTTTCTATCGATTGTAGGATCAGACATAACCGAGATAGGTTCTGTGGACAGCAGCCGTAATTTGTGTCTTTGGATTTTGGATGGAATGCGCGAAGTAGTTCGAAGAATGAAGGGAGGTGAGGTAGCATTTAAAAGAGGCGGGCACGCATATGTTCTATCGATCCTGAGTTCTTACGACACACAAAGGACCACGATTACTGGCAGCCCAGTCCCCGGCACAGTCGATCTCCAGAATCATCCATTCCAGACACCCAATACACTTGAAATGGTGAGGAAGTCGAGATTCGCGCAACAAGTTCACGGCATTCGTAGGTAATGTTAGTTCTTTGTGATAATCGTAGAGTCCTTTTATTCTTTTTTCGAACTCCTTTCTTTAGCATTTCAGTTGATGCTTTTTTGTTAGACACAAAATGAGATGTCTCAGCTAGTTAAGGCATTGAAATAGCATCCAAGTCATGACTTAGATCGTTTCATCTTGTACCTTGTTTCTTGTCTTTGATATATCTCCAAGATCCTTGTGCTTAATTTTTGTTAAAATATATATTATATTTACGGTAGTTATTTTATTTAAGAAATTCATAGGATTCTTATCTTATTCAGACGATTTGTATAAATATATTAGTATTCTTACGATTGAAATACATAATTTTAGTTTTATATTCTAACGATTTTCACTACAAAAATGGATATTGCAATGGATGGGTTCTAGGGCCTATAATCTTTCTTGCGGGACAAGTTCATCTGTGTCAAATCATCCCTACCTTCATAAATATCATTAAAAGGCTCCAAAGTTTTTCAAATCTTTTTATATGTATACATATATAATATTTTATTTCAAGAGCTTTGCAAATATTTTATTCTACTTGTAATTATACGTATAATATAAATTAAAGTCTTAAATTTCCAATGTTTTTGAATATATTTATTTTATTTTCATTTCCAGACCATCTTTCCTCTTTGTCGGCAGGATCTCCTCCTCCTTCAATTCCTTCCACTTTTTCTTCTTGTTCACCGCTTCCACCTTCTTCTTCTTCAGACTGTAAAGCAGAGAATGGCTTAACTAATTGGTGACTAAACCTAATTAATCAATTTTTAAGACGAGAAAACAGCAACAGCCGAGTGAAAATATATAGAGCAGCTGCCCCGCAGTTCTAGCAACCAATGCCGCACATCCAATGGAAACAATCTGTTTTGTGTCATCTAGAGAGACCGTTGCAATAATTTTATTGGACTGATTGTCGCGAATAATGGAGAATACATTGTCAAACACAATATATTACCCACTTGAGATCAATTGTCCGAGACTTAGCAGATTATGGGCTAAGGTTGTGGAGATGTCTAACATCACCTTGTATTGTATTGATGCAAATTGTTCCTTTTCCTTCCAAGTGCATTTCTTTTCCTTCTCCAAGTCGAACCACTCCCTTTTTGCATTTCATCACGTTCTTTGAATAGAGATTTGACACCCGACAAGTGGTTCGAGCAGGAATCAACCATAAATAAGTTGCTCGGATCCTTAGCTTCTGTTAGAATTTTGAGGAAAAATATGAAAATTGTATTATGACAACAATAAGAGCTTACAAGACTACATATATATAGTGGACTCGTGCCTAAACTAAGATAAATAATATCAAGAAATATCTAAATCTAACAGCTTCTTTAGTAAAATTTGCTTGTTTTTGTTCATCCCTCGTTTCAATCCAACAATCAATATTTTTGTGCCTCATCTTGTTGCAGTCTGTGCACTGAATGTTGTTTCTAAATTGGTGTGGTTCAAATTACTTACCTCTACCTCCGCTATGTCTTCGTCCTCGAAACCCAAATATCTTTGTTCCCAGCATCACAAATTACTTCTGATAGGTATTCTTGCAAAGATTGCTTGTCTTTCATTGCCAAAGCTTCGAAATCACGACGAAGGGTCTGCAGTTTGATAGTGATTATATATCAACACTTGATTAACACATGAAACATAATTTGATTAAATAATGTCAAAGTAGGAAATTCAAATAAACTAATATTAAAATAAGTAAAATAAACTTGTCAACACTTGATTAACACATGGAACATAATTTGACATACTAATTGTTTATATGAGACATAACACTTTGGTAACTAATTATAGTCTGCATAGTAACAATAATTACCCAAAAAATAACTAAAAACTCGGACTAAGAATTTATTTATTGCATTGGTCATTGTAATCCAATTCTCAATTTCTTTATACCAAAAAATAATTACCCAACAATTTGAAGTAATTATTTATTTCCAATAATTCAAAGAGAATTTATACCAAGTAGAATGATGCTTTGTTGCAAAACATGATACACTTGTCATGAACAAAATCAAGTTCATGGGTGGAAGAGTAAAAACTAACCAACAATTTATTCGAATCTTTTTAAAATGAATATATAAATGTGTTTGGTATTGTTTGGATGAAAATTCGGCGAATGAAAATTTAAACTTAAATAATAATAATAATAATAATAATAATAATAAAAAAGTGAACAAAGCCAACAAGTTTATTAGTAATTTCTAACTGAATTATACCGGATTTCCATAGATCATGATGTTTACGGAGAAGAATTGTGAGATTACAAAGTGATGCAATCTTGCAAGTTTTTTTTCCTTTATTTTATTTTATTTATTTTTTATGTCTATTTGTGATTGTACTGGCAATAGAACAAAATTTGCACAGTTTGAACATAATCTGCATCTTTCATTCAAAGAACCATAAAAACCTTCTTTAAGAAATTTGTCTTGAAAATTGTCCCTACCCTAACCTTCTCGAGGTTGACGGTGATGCAGAGGGTTTCAAATCCCAAAATATTTGCAACTATTGTAATAAAAACTTCAGAAGCAAGTAAATATTGGGAAGACACTAAAATGGGCACAAGCTGGAGAGCTATCTAAAAGAATGTCAGCTAACTTTAGGAAGCCCATTTTGGCTATTTTCTCAGGGCTGGCCTACCATACACTCCCGCAATGGGGTTTGCCTTGCCCTTCGCTGGTGCTTACCACAGATACCTTGGATGGCCGTACCATTTCCCCCTTCGGTTGTGCTGCCGCCTCCGCCACGTCCACACCCAAGATTCAATAATCACTTCCCGGGACATCCTTTGTGGGGGAGGGATGCTGTCCCTTTTTCAGGGATTGGATTCTTCTTCGGGGTGGATCCAGTGGCAGTAGGGCTCGGCAGGAGGGTGGGTCTGCCGCGGAAGCACCCAAGAATTATGCCAAATATCACCTGGATATTGACGATTCTGGCCTTGACTTATCTCTTAAGTTGTTAGTTGATGTCTGATAGTTTGTGGCATCGTAACATCTAATAGAATTCATAGCCTCTAATGTAATTGTAAATCAAGCGCACTTGGATAAGAAAATGTTTTGGAAGATTTGAATGTGAAGCAAGACAAAGGCATCAACATCTTTGTAGATAATCAAGGTACAATTGTAATTTCTCATAATCCTATCTTTTATGGAAAAACCAACCATTTCCAGATCAAATTTTATTTCTTAGAGAAGGATTGGTTGGCTAAAAGTATTGCAAAACTAATCCGCAACTAGCTGACATACTAACAAAGCCTTTATCGAGAAGCAAGTTTGAGTTTCATAGAGAGAGACTTGGAGTTTAAAGGATTCAAAGCAAAGAGGAGTGTTGAGTTTGTGTTTAGTCTGCTGCTGCAACCTTTATTTTTTTTATTTATGTTTCAGTTTTTAAAATTGTAGACTACTTTGAATAACTTAGTTAGGGTTGTTCCTAACTTGGATGTTAGTTATTTAGATTCTTTTAAAATCTCTTAAATAAAGGAAAATCAGAATTCAGATTCTCAATTTTGTTTCTGCTTCCAGTTCGTAAAATAAACCAACAATATGAGCCATTTATTAAACTAGAGGCCTGAGCAAGATCTCTTGTTCCTTCCAAAAGCCGCCGCTATTTATATATTGTTGCTGTTGAATGTATACGGATTTATTAATATATATTTTTGTTGTTGAATGTGTGGTGCATGTGTCACAATATATTTTCCCTTTCTTAGAAGATTGTGTTCTTTTATGTCTATCTTTGGCGGACAATAAATTACTATTCTTGAACAACTTGAACTTAACAAATTAATGAGAAACAAATAAGCTCATTTCATAAATTTTTTTGAGAAATTTATAGTTCCTAATTATTTGTTTTTGACAAAAGTTGGATTTCGAATTATTGTACTGAGGTTCCTCCACATATGAGGCAATCATATCCCCATAATTTTGAAGTGTTCACTATGTTCCACACGAAAAGGTATTACAAGGGCGTTCCTGAGTGTGCATGGCTCTACGGAGAAAATAAGTAATGGACTTCTTATTTAATAATTTTTATATATAAATAATATAAAAATAATACATTTAAATAATTTTTATTTAGTTATTTATTTTATTCGAAAAATACTATTTTAAATACTTTATTCTTTTTATTTGTATAAAATTTGCAGAATTAGATGTGCATATACAATCAAAATCAAATTTGGATGAATACGATAATTTGTGCATAATTTAATTTAACATAAGAGAGTTTCATGCAATAAATAAAATACATTAATTTGTGCATAATTTAATTTAATTTAATTAATTAATTAATCATATTTGAATTTTGATTATTTTTGAATTATCTTATATAATTAAACTAACCTAAAATTGTGGCCCACTTTTCTCCCATTAAGTCTATCACATTCAAAATATACGTGAGAAGTGGCAGAAAAATCGTGATGGACGGTTTTTCTTTTGATTATAAATACTCTCACATACGGGTTACTAAACCTACTCTCAGAAAATTAGAATACACCATCGCTATTTGAGAGCCAGGGTTTGGCAACATCATCCTAGGGTTCCACGATCTGGCACTATCTTCGGAGGTTTCCAAAGTTTGGCAACATCCTCCCAAGGGTTCCAAAGTCTGACAACACCGTCTTCCCACGGCTCCAATTCACGTTTTGCTTGGAGAAGAGAATATCGAGAATAAATCTAATTTTTAGCAATGGCAGGAGGTTTGTTTAAATTTCGCTTCCGCTAACATATTTGATTATATGTTTATTTTCTTACATTTGGTATCAGAGCTTTTTTGTCTCTGCCTTGCTTAGAATTCTCTTCTCATCAAATTCTTGATCAAGATTCGCTTTAAATTCTTATTTGAAAATATTTTGGTTTTCTATTTTCAACAATTGTTTTGCGATATTTTCTAGATCAAAATCCGATCCTGCGATTTGAGAAAATTTCATTCCTTGAGGAAAATTTTAAATTTTATTTTGAAATTAATTTATGCAAAATATTAAATTTTTGAAT